TTCATTTTATAAATGAGGAAACTGAGTCCTAAAGTAGTAGAGCCACTTGCTTTGAACCTGGGCAGACTCATGGTAGAGTCTGTGTACAGAATCGCTGATCTACAGGTGCCTCCCGGCACAAGGCTCCCTGCCGGTGTTGGGCTCTGGGTAAACACTAGCTGGAGGGCGGCTGGGCCCAGTCAACATGGGAACCAGGAATGCTCGGGTTTGGGCAATGCCCTTGGTCTGCTGGCTGGGGCGACTGTCCTGTGTTCTTAYCACATTCGAGTTGCCTGGGCCTCATCTCTTGTTATTAAATTCCTCATCTTCTGGTCTGCCCTCAGGGAACYAGTTGACCAAGTTGAGGCAATTTTTGAAGGCTTTTGCAAGAAGGAAGTGACTTTAGCCCCTGTGAAACAGGATGGGGCAGCCAACWCGCCTTCAGAGGGAATCAGGGTTGTAAAGCTGCAAAGCTGGCCCGGCAAGTGGGCTCTGAAGTGTTTCTCCACAATGTCAATCAGGCAGCGCTAGCAGGTGCTCCATTATACATATGTACATATGTCAGTGATCTGAGAAAGCTTGACCAGCAGCTCTTACTACAGCACTGCTCAGGGTCTAGAGCATGCACAGGGACTTCAGGAGGGACATGAAACACACAGCATTCCCCTTTGACTATCTGAGGAACATGTTATAAAATGTTTTTCTTCTTTAAAAATACTATCGATAGATGCCATTTATGGATAATTAACTGCTGGTCAGGTACTTATTCTGTATTCTCTATGYGCTATCTCATTAATTCTCAGAAAAATCTCTGAGGCAGATGCTGGTATCATGGCCATTACGTAAGTGAGGAAACTGAGGCTCAGAGAGCGACAGGCCCAAAGTCATAAGACTAAGAGGTCAAAAGTGGCAAACCAAACCCTCTGTTTGATCCAGAAGCCCATTAGGCCAGGGAGGAGGGAAGCTGCTGCCTCCCGCACAGCTGGCAGGAGGGATGGGTCTGGATCCGGCATCCTGACTCCTCTTCCAGTTGCTTCTCCCACGCTGTCGTTTCTGGATTCATGACTGTGTGGGATGGTTGGTGACGTCCACCTCCCCACAGGTAGCTCCCTCACAGGCCAAGGAACCCTCTAGAGATGAGCAGAACCTTAGGGCCTGGATCTTGCCCATCGCCATCACGCACATGGCCTCGCCTTCATCCCTCTGGACCTGAGCTGGACCCCTATGCCACGAACCATGCTGTCTGTCACGGGCTCCCTAGGGGCAAGCCTAGACCACTGGAGGCGCGTGGTTTTAAATAGGTCATGTGGTTTTAAATAATTGAAGAGGAAAAGAACACGACTTTGTAACACTCTGGTGAAAAGTATGTGAGATCCACGTTTCAGTACCCGTGACCACAGCTCTACTGGTCCACAGCCACACTCAGCTGCTGACGTGCTCCCTACTTGTACATCATGATGGCAGAGCTGACGAGCTGCAGTCGGCCCGGGATCTGCAAAGCCTGACATGTTGACTCTTTTGCCCTGGCTGATCCTTGATCCAGATGAAAGAAATCAAGCCCCCGTAATATTATTGCTCACACTTGGCGAGTTCCTTCTCAAGTAAACTGGTTTTGTTCCTACTTCTCAGGGATTGGCAGGAATGAAGTAGCCTATGACTAAGTCTCAGGAATGGAGAGAAGTTGCAGGCCCACCAGTGGCTGGGCCAGGGTTCAGGAGCTCCAGGTTCCTGCCCGGGCRCTGCCCACTACCCTGCAGGCCCCCCCAAACCCGTTCCACTGGGGTGAAATAGCATGCTCTGATAGAACGTGTTCTGGTCCATCTACTTAATAAATGTGCCACAATGTCTCCTGTGTGCCATGTCAGGCTCTGCTTAAAGAACTATCTAGAGATTTTATTTATATGTGTATACATCTGCACATGCATTATACATATGTACATATATAAAAACTTTCCTGCTAGTGATTAAGTGCYATAAAGAAAAGTAGAGCATGCTAAAGAAGTAGAGATGGTAGGGCGGTATTCCTTTAAGGGGGTGATGAGCAAGGAAGCAATGAAGGACCAATGCAGGGAGCAGCCAATGTGAGGGCCCCAGGCTGGAAAAGTCTCCTGTGCTGAGAGACAGCAAGAAAGCCAGGCTGGCTGGGGGCAGAGCCTGAGGGGAGCGGGGAGTGGGTCTGGTGAGTAAGCAGGGTGGGGAAGGACCACAGGCCAGGCGAGGGGCTGGGAGGTGCCTTGGGGGCAATGGRAGTCCCTAGTGTTCTGGAGCCTTGGCACCAATGTTTTACTGATTTCGAAGGACATCTGTGTGGACACTGAATTGAGGGGGTCTCGGTGCCATAGGACCTCGGTTGGATCCTTGAGCTGGGATGTCATGAGGTAAAGACCTTCTGGGAGACTCAGAAGCTGCCCTCAGGACGCTGGAAAGGCAGGGAARGCTGAGGGAATGTGCCCACTGCACCTTACAACAGCCGTGACAGCTGGGTGCTACAGCAGGCCCTGGAGGAGCAGGGCTCAGGGCCGCAGCAGGGTGGCCTGAGTGTGTCCCCTCAGATCTTGCTTCCTCCAGGAAATCTCCCCTCTGTCTCCAGGGTTGCCCAGGCCCTTGGAGCCTCCCTCTCCCTCAGACCAGGCGATGATGCCTCTTTCTTCTGAGTCCCTCCTCTAGACTAGGAGCTCCTTGCTGGCAGCCAGCAGGTGGCTGGGGGCAGGTATTTCTCGAACCACTAATCCAGGGTCTGAAGCCAGGATCCCTGGGAGTGGGGCGGGGTGATTAGTGAGGACGCAGAGGTCAAACTCCTTCCTCTGACATGAAAACTGGCCTAGTTTGATATTCTAGATCCYTCCTCCCAGGGTCACAGTGACACCTCTCAGCCTTGTAGATCATGGCCCTCGGCAGATCCTCCTACGGTTATGTTAGGTTCCATGTCACCCCTACCCAAACAACACACTCCGAGCTCCTCTCCACTTCTTCCCTTCTGAACTCTACCCTAAGCCACGGGGCTTGGGACACTGAAGGGGTGCCCACCATGCATCTTCCACGAACACCCTTAATCCTGCCAACCATCATTCAAAGTGGATATTCACTGCTTTGTGGAAGAGAACACGAAGCCAGAAAGATGGTGTGCCTCAGACAGCAGAGCCAATCTGCGTTACTTTATCTCCACTAAGCAGGGGGCCAGGCTGAACCATTAAATGACTGACTCAAGTTAAAGCATGACTCTTATTCACAATGAATAGGACAGAGGATAGATGGACATCTATGACCTACGACCATTTACATCTGGTAGATCACTCATCATAAGAAAGATGGGATGCACCAGTAAAAAATGTGGAAGAGGGTACAGCAAAAAATACACTACTGGTGGAATCTATAAGTGTGCAGCCTTTTTGAAAGTTTGGTCAAAAATATATTCTTTAGCTAGAGTGGAAACAATCCAAACATCCATTAACTGATGAATTGATAAACTGTGGTATATCCACACCATGGAATACCATTAATGAAATATTGATAATCAGGATGCACGTTGTATAATCCCATTTATATGCAATGCCCAGAACAGGCAAATCCAAAGTAGATCCGTGCAAGCTTGCCAGGGGCTGCCCGTATGATACCTGGGAAGTGAGTGCTCATGGGTACTGGGTTCTTTTTGAGGAGATAAAGAATGTTCTGGAATTAGTGGTGATGGTGACACAACTCCCTCAATATACTAAATCCCATGGAACTGTACACTTTTGAGAGGCTGAATTAGCTCAATAAACCTATTAATAAAAACCCAAAACTTGTGGGTCATCCTCTTCAACGCCCAGGTTACTGTCCATGATATGGACAGAGGAATCCTTTACAGGAAGCTTCATCCGCAGCAGCCACTGGAGCCCAAACCCTGGTCCTGGAGTGTGGTCCGTGGACTTCCAAGTGACAAGCCTGTCCCGTCTTTCCCTTCAGCTCACATCCCATAGTTCTGACTCGGCCTCTGGTGGTTTTATTTTTCCAGGGTCTACAGGTCTTCAGAAAGGCCTTGAATGGTGGGCTCCACATTAACCATCAACCCTTACGACAGGTAAGCTTCACCAAGGCTGCATGATGCCAGAATGTCAGGCCTAGCATTCTCTAGGTCTCAGGAGTCCCCAACCTTGCTTCTTTGGGAAACTAGAAACTAGGTGCATGTGCTGAGGGCCTGCCTGCTGCACCCAGCGTTTGGTTAGTCTTCTACTGCTCCAAAGGTAGCCACCACCGCCTCCTCGCTACCCCAGCAAATAGGTTCAGGATGGCTGTTACCAGTCCCAACTGGAAGTGGCACAAATCCCTGTTCTTCCCAGGTCCCCCCACTCATCCAGTGGCCTGATTTCTCTGGGCTTCATTTCTCATCAGCAGAGGGGGCACACATCCCACCGCCCAGGCAGCAGGGGGGAGGGATCAGAAGGTTTTGGGCCAATTCCAGACTCCATTCCTCATGGAATGTGGCTTTTGTTGGACCAGGCTAAAGGAGATGGGCCATGTGCTCCTCCCCCATCCCTAACCCAACCACTGTGGCCTGGTTTGCTCACCCTGTCAACAGTTTGGCCCTCGATAGAGCCCACACTTCCCTAGAACACAATCCCCAGCCCGGCAGCGGTGACCTTTTTTCTACTTCAAAATTCTTCAGGGCTAGGACTTGCACAGACCTGCAGGGCTGGGGCCGAGAGGGCTGTAGAGCCTTCTGGAGGCCACTGGGGTTCTCTTAGGTCTAGGTCCTCATTCAGGGCCCCTCCCCCAAGGAGAGGAGGCAGGACTTCCGACAGGCTCCTGCCCTCCTAGGTGTGTGTTTTCCAGGTGTGGAACGGGAAGAGCCACGGAGGGCCACTGGCAGTTTTGTCAAGCATGGGAATACTGAGTGGTGAGCATCCTTTCCTTATGCCACCAAACAGGACAGTGTTGCTGTGATATGCTGGCTTCTCCACCCTCCCAAACAGGTGGCAACGAAACCATGAAATACTCATTTTCAAATCACATATGGCTTCTTTGACCCCATCAAATAACTTTATTCACACAAACGTCCCTTAATTTACAAAGCCTCAGTCATTCATACACATTAGGGGGATCCACAGTGTTCAAGGAACTTAAATATAATGTATCATACCAACCCAAGTAAACCAAGTACAAAAAATATTCATATAAAGTTGTTCACACGTAGGTCCTAGATTACCAGCTTCTGTGCAAAAAAAGAAAATAAAGAAAAATAGATTTATTAACTAGTATTTAAAACTAACTTTGTGCCTGGCTTCAAACCTCCCTCATGCCCAAGACTGTCCCAAATTTGAAGAACTTATTGTACATCCTGCCTGCCCTACTGATGGGAAGAAGCCCCTGGGGTACAAGACTTCTTTAAAGCTAGGGCACAAGATGACTTAAAGCATCCCYAAATAAGCTCCCTTCCTCCCATGGTCTCTCCTAGAAAAGTGTCTAGGGTGAGGGGCTCCCTTTGATAGCCTCTGCAATCCTAGGGTTCCCTGGGCAGCCAATGGCAGTGGATTAGTCTCTTGGTGACGGTGGTGGATGCTAACAGTGGCCAGTACCATGGTGCACTGGGGCTGGTCTCCCTTCAAGAGCATGTCTAGGACAGGAGCCCCCTGCCTCAGAGCCAGGGGCAGGGCAGGTCCACACTGTGCTCCAGCTCAGTGTGGGAGGGAGGAAGAGGCAGTTTCCTGGGCTTCGGCCTCCAAACCCTGCCTGTCTGGAGAGCTGATAGAAGCTTGGCTGTTCTGAGGCTGCCTGCTAGCAGCTGTCTTGTGTGCCAGACAGGCCTGAGGGACAACTAATCAAGGGGAGGGAGACCCATCCAGAGTAGACCCGTCAGTGCCTCCAGATGTGTGTGGTGGTGGTGGTGCAGGGGAGCACAGGGGCAGGGCTGGAAGGGGCCTTATGGCAAGGCAAGGGCAGAGTTAGGGTCCCCTCCTTTGGGGATGGCAGCCAGACTCCTGCTCTTCCATGCGTCCAAAGATACCCCAAGGCTAAAGTCCAGACACCGTCCTTTTATCTTCTAAAGAGGTAAACAGCCAACAGCATCTAGATTCCCACAATGGCAGCTCTTTTCCTTTTCTTAGAAAAAGATTCAAGCAAAAATAATCATCTTATTGCTCCAAACACTGGTTTTCTAGGTAGGAGACAAGTGATATGTAAGGAGCCGAGGCTCTTGGAGGAAGGAGCAGGGAGGCGGGAATGTTTGGGACGAGGCCATGGGGGAGAGGGAGTGGTCTTAGCACCACAGGTGGGGAGCAGGGGCAGCGAGGGGCCTTCCCCCCACCCTAGGCATCTCTGCCTGCATCCGCTCTGGGGCCACCACTGGCAGTGCCACAAAGGAGGCCAGGCCTTTTCCAGAGAGTTAGATCTCCACCCACTGTGGGCACATTTCTCCTCCAGCTGTAAACAGGGTATTTCTTAGGTAAACATTTGATACACTCCCTTGGAAAGGCAGCCATGCGGGCAGAGCCCATCAGGGTGGGAGGAAGGAGTTCCCATTACCTGTCCCAATGCCCCTGGGATGAGATGAGGCTAAGGCTGGCAACCTTAGTCCCAGTGTCCAGAAAGGGGTCAGGTGGAATCAGCCTGGAAGCAGCAGACTGCCGTGTCCTCCTGGCTAGAGGTAAGGGGCAGGACACCTACTGGGGAGGTGGAGGCCAAAGGTGCACCTGTATGCAGCGGTTTTCTGTCCTGGGCTAAAGCTGCTCGGGAGTGGCCTGGAGGTGGGTGGGGAGACCTGTGCCTGGCTGCAGCCCTCACGAAGGGGGCGTGGGAGTGCAGAGGGTCTCCTTCCCCTGGGGCTGTCTGTGGGTAGGAGGGAATGTGAGTGCAAGTGACAGATGGACAGACAGGGAGGGAAGCCACACTTTCACTGGGCTGGAGGGGGAGGCAAGAGATTAAGGCACTGTGATCTGTCCTGGCTGCCTCACACTAAGGAAAATCCCAGCTCAGACCCACAAGGGCCAGGGCCAAGATGTCTCCAACAAGCCAGCCTTTCCACAGACCCAAGAAGAGGATGACAGAGTGCTGCCTTGGGTGTGGAAACTCCTAGAACTGGGACAGGCCTAACAAACCTGGAGGTGCTGAGATGAGGCCCCGCAGAGGCCTGGGGAGGAGGAGGAAGAGGGGAGATAGAAGAGGGGGCCAATCCCTGAGCGGGTGGCAGGGAGTGGCCCTGAGAGATTGCATGGGCCCCGGGGCTGACCCAAGGCTGCCCACCACCTGGCCGTGTACCCGTGGTGGACAAAATGGATCAGCAGGGGAAGGGAGGCGGGGCGGGAGGGACAGGCACTTGGGGATAAAGAGCTGGCCCTAGTTGGAGCTGAGGGAGTCCTACCACCAAGCTGGTGCTGGCTGGGAGTCCCGGAGGAAAGGTAAGGAAGCAGATCCCCCTGCCGAGCTGCCTCCCTGAGGCCTACAGGGGAAGACTATGACACCAAGAGGACACGCTATGGCCCTAGGAACACAGAGCTGAGACTGGGGGAAGCAGGAGAGAATGGCAGGCAAAAAGTAGGCACCCCAGGCTCAAGCCCGCGTGGGGGTTTCAGAATGACCACAGCCAGGTGCCGGGTAGGAGACTTGCTTTTCCCATTTGCTCATGTAGGCCGAGCTGACCCCCAGGGAAGACGGGCTGGGGGGCAGAGAAGGGACATGCACTCATTAAGGAACCCTGATGCCCGACCCTCCAGCTGCAGTGCAGTGTGCCCAGGAGGCTGCCTGAGAAGTCGGGAGAGGAGACAGGTGACCGCCATGGGCCCTGCAGGATCCTGCTGGCAGCAGCCAACCACCGGCCAAGGGGAGGAAGAACCCTGGTGCTGAGGGGCTCCGTGCTGTGCTGGTCTCCCACACCCCCAGGGCCAGAGGACTGCTGCTTTGGGGGAAGTCCCCCTTGGTCTCACACCAACTACAACGCCCTCCAGGTGCTTCCCCATCACTCCTCTGTTGGTTTAGGTACAAAAACAAAACAAAACACTCGACAAATAGGAATGACTCCTTCCTCTTCCCAGAGGCCCAATCCCATCTGGCTGCTATGGATGTGAGGGCCAGACAGAGGGCCGCCCAGGGAGAAGGGCCAGGTTGGAGACGCAGCCCAAGAGGGAGGCTGCAAGAACACTGCCAGGAGCAGAGGGCCACCCAGACAGTGATGGCAGTGTCGAGGGGTCACAGCCAGGGGTGCTTTAAGGTGACAAGCCCCCACACCGGCACCTGGCAGGCACGGGGTCTCCCCTGTCCTGCCAGACACCTTCCTGCCCAGGGCAGCTCCATTCTCTTCCCATCAGACGCACTTGTGTTGAGGGCGGGCACTAGCAAAGTCCCTGGGGGAGAGGGAGATGGCTCTTGACATGTGTCCTCGTGTGACACCGTGGACCCCGGCACACAGGGCATACCCTTCACCGCACGAAGGTGGTGGCCAGTTCAGGGTGCCCTGTTATCATGGCCATGGTCATGACCAGCTGGTGGCCTCCGGCAGTCTCTGTGATGGCCTAGAAACTTGCAGCACACCTGGGAAGACGACGATCAGGAGGCAGCAGGGAGGGGTGACCTCAACAGTGACAGATGCCCATGGAAGACCCAGTGTGTCCTGGGCAGAGGTTTGGCACAACAGTTTCCTAACAGAGAGGTGGGCTTGTGGGGCTGGGGTCAGGTGGCCAGTCATCTGCAGCAAACAGGGATGGTCACATGTTACCTCCTCCCTGGGGACTCCCAGTTGTAAAGGACACAAGAGGGAACAGATTCTCAGCACTGAGAGTCCTGGTGTGGCCTGGGGCTCCCAAGAGCTTAAAGAGAACCAAACCCAGAGTTTAGGCCTCCTTTCTGGAGTCCTCCTGGCCACGCCCTAGTCGCCCTTTTCCAGGTGGTTCTTCGCCTCTGTCCCATCGAGGGCCAAGGGCCAGGACCAGCCCACCAAGGAATCCAGCAGTTTCTGCATCTGGTAGGGAGGTGGCCCACGGCCTCCTTGAGTCTTCATGTCCCATTCCAGGAGAAACCCAAAATGCTCTCCGGGGAGAAGGGTCTTCTCCAAGAAGTGAGATGCTGTATGAGCAGAACTGGGAGATGTGTAAAACAAAGAGACAGAGGTAAAATGAAGGACAAAACCAAAATCGTTCCCTAAACCCTTATAAAAACGAACAGGGAAATTTATACATATGCCTTGTCCACACTGAATTTCTTTAAAGAAATGGTGCCTGTCCACAGCATAGCTCTCTGCTCTTCCAAAGTCTTGATGGTTTAAATTAAAAAAGGGGGGCTGGGGGAAATGAAAACTAAAAGGAGGGGGAAACCCAAACAAAAGCTTCACATTGCCGGAGATCCAGATGTCGCTGTCGGGAGATCGCCAACCAGCCAAGCCATCACCTGTACCCTCTGCCGTCCTGTCGGAGACACGATGAGACTACGGGTCCCAAAGGATCAACCTGGAAGACAGAAGGCAGGGAGTGGGCATGGGATCACCAGGCTCAGCACCAGCACCCAACCCGACCGACTACGCTAAGCTTAAAGATGTGATGAGGCCCAATTTCTACATACTTTCTATGGAGTAACTCCAGTGTCGCTAAAACCACCCTGCCGTGGACACATTCTTATTTTTCAAGAAAGAAAACTGAGGAGCCCCAGTTTTTTAGGTTAGGGAAAAAAACAAAAACTGACTGACCCTGGAAGCAGGGACCCAGGCATGCTGGGGCAGCTACAGATCTGATCATGGGTCCCAAGGCCTTGATCCCACCCTAGCTTCCTTGTGCTATTAGGAGACACCCCACAGGCCTTATCAGCCCTGGTTCTGCTCAGCMCTGTCTCCCGCCCCGCCCTCCAGGGTTAACTGTGGGCGTGGGCCTCACAGCACCCCCGCCCCCAAGCTTAAGCTACCTTATTTTAGAGGTAAAACTTGTGAGAGTGCTGACCCTGTTAGTACTGGTATTTTCTGGAAACCACCCTGGCCAGGCCTCAGGAGTAAGACAAGAAGCCTGCCCTTCAGGGACTTAAATCTAGAGGAACCTAGAACACAAAAGCCTACAAAGAGATGAGCTTTGGGCCTGCCCCAGACCAAGCCACGTGATGAAGTATGGCCTTGTCCTAGACAGTGTGGGCCCCAGGGCAGCAACGCTCCACCCTCCCTGCACCCCTAGTCATCCAGGCTCTTCCAAGTGCCTGGTTTCCCCCTGAACGACTGAATAGGTTGTCTTTCCTGCAAGCTTGTGATCCCCAGAGGCTCTGTGGACTGAGGCCTGCCCTCCCAGCCCCGCRCCATCTCTACCTTAACCTGTCTGCCTGTGCAATCTGATGACATGGCCTGCCACCTCAGAGGTGGCCTTCTTGCCYTCAGAGAGAGAGTGGGCATAGGTAGTAAATTATTCAGTATTATCCTATCAGCCTTGGTCTCTTCCTTTGAAAACTGGGGGCGCTTTTTTTGAGCTGAGTGTAGTAATAACTGTACAGTACCCTCCCACTGCAGGTTCTGAAATTTGATAAGACAACTGTCCTCAGCCAGGGACTCTCATGTGATAGACTTCCAACAGGCCATGGYTTGTTCAGTCATCCACAGTGCTTCAGGCTAGGTGTGGGCACCAAGCAGGGACACCTCCACCATGCCCCACCCACTAGCCAACATGGGAGAGCCTTCTGGAAGGCTCGTGGCCACACATACTTTCAAAGCTTGAGACGTGCTTAGCCCCATACCCTCCAGTTCTGCTCCTGGAAATCCAGCTTCAGATAACACTAAATAAGGAGAGGACTTGGTGGAGAGAGATTTGCTGCTGTAACTTATGAGGCAATAACTCACAAAAGTCCAAAAATAAAGGATGATTAAGCAAATGATCCGTCAACTTGATATATTGCAGAGGAAATGAGATAGTTGTATGGCGTCTTGATTATGCCAGAGCCTACCTCTGGGTTAAGTGGAAAACAGTAAGTTACTAAGTATGGCAGGAAGTATGAATATGGTGTGTCCCCAGCTCATGCTGGAGACCCCACTGTGAGGTAATGAGGGAGTGAAAACATAATCAGCAACCGACTATGGTGTTTAGTGGGTGTGGCCCTGAGATGTGATTAACTTTAGATAAGGCCATTAGGGTGGAACCCCCATGATTGGATCTTGGTGGCTTTGTAAGAGGGAGAGGCCTGTTCCCTCCCTTGACACAGGATGCCCCGTGCTGCCTGAAACTGTCAGCAAGAAGGGCCATCACCAGATRTGGGCCTTTGATTTGAGACCAGAACCATGAGCCCAAATAAATCTCTTTTCTTTAGCACTTACCCAGTCTGTAGTAATGGGTCATTAGCAAGAGAAAAGAGACTAATGCACTATGACTAAACAGACCCCACCCCCAGCACCAGCTGACAGCAGGAAAACCTGCAAGAACTAGACTGAGACTTCTTCCCCAGTTTCCGATTTCCTATGAGGAACACACATCACAGTCTCACTTTTGACTGTTCACTGAGGAAAACAGTTCACTGTCTCTTGTCTGGGCTCCTCCACACAGTGGGCAGTGGAGAATTCTCCACACCTGTCATGTGAGAGGTTAGATGGATAATTCCCGCTCCACTGCCCCAGAAAGGGGTGACCCAGCATCTGCTTTGGACTGGGGTGGCCRAGATGCACTGGGAAAGTGTGAAATCTGGAAAGAAAACAGACTCCCCAGGGCAGGCCCCCCACTCTGCTGCTCCTGCTCCCCTGCCACTAATTACCGTCAACGAAGGCCCACTTGTGGGTCTTGATCCCAGCTTTCCACGGCGGAAGATGAACCCTCCTAACCATGCACCCCCTGCTCAGCAGCACCCCCAGTCCCAGTTCCCTGCTGCACTCTCCGCAGCTGAGGCAGGGGGGCCAGAAGATGGGGACACCCTCGCCAACCAGGCATGAGGTCCTCACAATTCCATGAGAAGCTCAGGAAACTGTACAGTCACCTGTGATCTGCTAAGATACTCTTTGGGATCTTTTAACCTCCCTTTCCCCTCCCTGGGCGAGACCTGAGCTGAGGACAGCATCCTCTAAGGAAGGCATTGTCAGCAGAAAGGTGGCACGTAATGGCTGGAAAGCAGTGCTGGTGGTGCAGCAGGGAGACTCAGAAGCCAGAGRCCGCTTTACACAACAAGCCGTGGGACAGAGTGGCTGCACACGCGGCTGGGCCCACCGTGGCACCCTGCGAGAGCGTCTGATGTGGCAGCTGGTGATGCGGCTGTGATCACAGGTCCCTAGCTGGGAAGCCAGGCTSACATTTCCCAAGGCTCTGCCCTCCTGTCAGGAGGCCCCCTGGACAGCCTAGGTCTGGGTCTGCCTCTCCCCTGTGGAAAGGACTTTGGCTTTCGCTTGTGTGTCCCACCACAGAGGACACACCTTTCTCAGGGAGCCTGGGGCATGGAAGGTGGGATGGCCCTTTCCATAGCCTGAGGGAAGGTGTGGGTCACATGATGCTGGGTTAAATCAGCAGCTCTCCTGGGCACCTCTGGCACCRTAAGTGGTAGATCCCACCACTCATGGGTCACCCTTCATCCTGGCAGATGCCACATCTCACCTCCTTGGCTGCCCCAGACACAGGCTGCTAGCCTCAATCAGAGCTTGGTTTGTTCCACCCAGTGGAGCTCCTGCTGCTGACCTAGAGCCCCCTCCAGGTACACGAAGCCCACCTGCTAAGCACAGTGAAAAACGGTGATGTGACAAGTCTGTGAGTGACATCTATACTTCACTTTGCGATTACTGTGAGATGAATTTGGCCAGTCTGACCAAAGGAACAGGCCCAGAAATATGGAACAACACAGCCCACGTCCCAGAGCGGTCGAGCAGTAGGCCCAGCGCTTAATCAGAGTTTCCGGCAGCTCTGTGGCCCAAAGCCGCCTCACCAGGACCAGCCTAGCCATGTGCTTCGAGTAGCAGTCACCGGCTCTAACAGTTTGCAGCTGAGATCTCTTAGCGGAGAAGGTAATCTGGAAGGTTTGTGGGCAGATCCTCATCCTTCTTATTTCAGCCTTTTGACTAAGGTCTCAACACATCCTGCCTTCTTATTTCTCTAAACCTACCATGCAACAAACATTTATTGAGCATTTAATATGCGCCTGCAAATTCCAAGTACTTTACAGGTAACAACTTAGCAAGGCAAACCTAAACCCTCCTACACTGCTTTCTGATCACTRTGTCCCAAAAGGGACCAAGAGGTTACTTCTCCTGCCTCATTTCACCCCAGCAACCCTATGAGGCGAGAGCTATTGTCACCCCAGTCTTAAAAGAGATGAAGAAACTGAAGCTCAGAGAAAGGCTGCAGTTAATAAAGGTGGTAGAGACAGGGTTTAAACTCGGGTTGGTCTCACTCCAAAGCCTCTGCTTTTAATGTGTGACTCTAATAGAAAATCCCTTCCTAGAGAGACAAGAGCATGAGTGGAGTTTAAAACCCATTTAATCCCTGCATTTATAAATAGAATTACTTAGAAAAGGGCTCTTGGAAGGCTTGGCTTAGGTGCCTCTGTACAGGTCTGGTGCCCAGGGCACAAGGGGGGATATGGTGCCAACCAGACAGTGAGAAGTTTTCCAGCAAGTTCTCTGCCAGCTGAGCAGCTGTCTGATTTGCCTAAGGAGTCTGGGGGCCAAAAGGCTTTCATTAAGGCCATTAACAKCTTGGAGCACAGAAGCTGGGGACAGAAGGGGCTCATGTCCTTCTCCTGTCCCTATTGCTCAACCTGCAGGCACAGGGCATCCTGGTGAATCAAGGATCATTCCCTCCTCTCAGAATAYGGCCTTCCTGCTTTGTTGACTTTGAAGTGCCATTTCTTTGAACAGATGAAGATAAAAGGTAAGTAGAAGTGATTCAAAAAACTGATTTCCTTTCCCCATCCTGGTTCTAAATCATGCTGCCTTATGAAATATGTTAAGTCTGGTAACCACAGGATTTAAAAATCTCTGGAAGCACCGGGTCTATAATCCTAAAGACTCAAGAGGCTGAGGCAGGAGGATGGCAGGTTTGCCAACTTAGTGAAACCATGTCTCAAATAAGAGCTGGGGATGTCCCAGTGGTAAGGTGCCCAGTATAGGGTATGTGGGTGGGAGGCTTTCCAGGGCTCTATCAGAGAAGGAGCACAGGTTTCATGGCGGGCACTTGAGGGTTCAAGTCCAAGCCTTGCCACTCACTTGCCACTTCCATGATCCAAGCTTCCTTTCCCTACTAGAGAACGCAAATRGTGCTACTTGTCCTTTGGGGTCTGCTGCAAGGAGTGAGGAGTCAAGGCACCTGGCAGAGTGGCTCTCAGTCAAACRACCTTGCCTCCATCTGTGCTGACGGTCATTTTGGTTCTTAGGGTGCCACAGACTGGACTACCTACAACTTAATATCGAGTCCAGGCTTAATTCAGGATATTTCTGTCCTATGTTCTCACCACGGAGATGAGAATAAAGAAGTGGAGGTGGTGGGGAGAGMAGCCCTCTGATCCCCGCTCG